TTGTCTTTTTGAGAAAGGGTCTCGCTATGCAGTTCAGGCTCACCTTGAATTCACTTTATAGGCCAGACTGGCCTTGAACTCACAGCAATCCTCCCGCTTCATCCTCCTGAGTGCTGGGATTACAGGGATGTGCCACCATGCCAGGTCTTTCCCCTATTCTTTCCTTTCTTCCTTCTCTCCTTCATAAAATTCAATGGATGACCTGCTTTTGTCCAAGCAAGCTCCTAATTGGACACATACAGGGGGAGAAATGGAAACTCCTCCCTCAATAAAAAGTTTGCTTCAGTTTATTTTTCATTTGGTTTAAAATCAAATATTCTAAAATGACCCAATTCCCAGAGCATTATCCAATTGAAAGGGCTCAATGTAAACATAAAAGGTCCCTTCACTAAAGGTCTGAGTTGTCAATCTGAGAAAGCAAGAAGGGCCAAACTACCATAGCAGGGAAGCTCCAAAGCCAGAAAACTTCAGAGAAAGAGACTATAAATTAAATTTGGAGACCAAGAACTCACCTTTACAAGGTGTAATATTAGAGTTCAGTTCACTTGAGTTCAACAAACATTTACCAAGTTCTTGTGACACACCAAGACCTGGAGTGGGCACTGGGGACCCAAAGATCCACAAACTTCTGTGGTCATCAGTGCTCACCAAAAAAGGATTAAAAGAGTAGCATAAAGGGGAGGGGGTGTAAGACCTAACTTCTACTTTTCTTAAATGTTTATTGTTCTGATGAATATCTGATGTTCCCTCTAATAACTGTACTTCAAAATTATCCGTTGTGTTTGTACTCTAAATTTTAATTGAGAGGGTCAGTTTGTAGGAAGCTCTGAAACATTATTGTGAAACAATATACTTACTCATTAAATATCAAAAATGCTATTTTTTTCAATGCTAGGGACCAAATTCAGGACTTTGCACATGCTAGGCCAGTGCTCTACCGCTGAAATACCATCTTGCAGTGGAGCCAGGGGCTTACCTGACTTTAAAATGCCAGTTGTTGAGATAGTGGGTTAACCTTATGAATGAGGTGGAAGAGATGCTACAGGCTTTAGAGATCAATGTTTCTTTGTCTTCTGCTCTCCTGAACTGAAACTAGCATCAGTTTAAATAACTGCATTTATTATGCTTCAAAAACTAAGCGGAAATAATAATCTTGGTTGTCACGCTTATAGAATATTTTCATCCATGTTTTTGGTCACTGGATTTTCTGTGAAATGTGGACACAACAGGTATTGCAAACTTGCATCCACTTTGACTCTTTCTTCCTGACTTGTTTTTACAGGCACGTGAAAAGAAAAGGCCCTATAAAATTTTGCATCTGAGTTTTCAAACCTCTTCTATGTCCACTCTCCACATTACAGCCAGGGAAATTACTAAACACATCTGATCTCTTAAAATTCTCCATGGTTTCCCATTTGCTTAATAAGTGTTTTCATGAAGTTTATAAGGACTTGTAGGACCTAGGCTCTGTGAATAACCTTATTTCTAGACACTTGCTTTCTTTGCCTGGCTAACAGCTACTCATTATTCAGTTCTCCGTTTAGGGCACCTCCAGTGGGAAGCCTTCCCCCACCTCCCAGGTCTAGGTGAGGTGCTCCTTAGAAATGCTTCCAGAGTACTTTCACACTGCTTCATCACACCTCCCCTGCTTGCTGCCTGTCGGCATCCCCAACTAGACTTTGAGGAGGGACAACGTCCACCTTGTTTAACCCCAGTACCTAGTGCAACACTGGGCACATATCACGTATCACGGATGCAGTATACAATAGCTGAATGAGTGAAATAATCTTGTTTCCCAGGGTGGCATTTTAATGGTATAATTTCCTGGTTGGCTCTAGGGCTCTGCTCTAAAGATCCATCTAGACCCAAATTCCCACAGTTATCCTGATGAATCTAACTGCAAATGAACAGGAGATACTTCAGTGACAGGGCTCAAAGTAAGAAATTTTACTTAGGGCTTCTAATGATGCCATCAATCAATCAATCAATCAATCACTCAATGAAGAAATAATCAAGTAATATGTGTCTATATTTGAATACTCTTTGCAGAATTAGGAGTGTATTTGCAGAATTAGGAGCGTATTTTTCCCTCATGGCTTGGGCTTAGGTTTTACTCTAGATTTTCCATACAAAAGCCTCTTAGGCAACCCAGATCCATCAGTCGGTCTGTCTGTCAGTCTCTCTCCCTCCTTTCCTCCCTCTGTGTGTGTGTTTCATTTGTTAATAAATAACTCTGACAATAGAAAGGGAGCCTACAAACGGCTCATAAAAGATTATGGCCTAACACAGAAGCAGAACGGCTTGCTCTAGTCTTTCCTGGTCTATCCCTTATCCACACATTACGAGCACGCTCACGCCCAAAGGAAGGAAGCACAGCTGGGAGAGCTGACTTTCTAAATTGCCAGGAAGCTACACACCTGAGAAACTCCTAAGGCTTTGCTCCTTTTTTCTTGCGATTTCCTCCTGAACGTCACACAGCATATGTTCAATGTTCAGAACCACCTCGATGCAGGCATCCTGGGCTCCTTTAATCTCCAACTTTGCCTTTTCCACACTGATAACTTCTGAGATGGACACACTTGAGGTTGTTTGAAGATCAGACAAAAAATCATGCTCTTTTTTCCCAAGGTACAGAATGTGATTATTTTCAATGACGTGCTGGTCCTGGGAGGTCAGTATCTTTCGGATCCATGCCTCAGCCTCGTAATTCTCTTCCAGGTTGAGTCCCCTAAGATCGATTCTAGGGCATTCATTTTTAAGTCCATTTTCTCTTTGTTCTTCTCTGGGGCACTGGTGGGAGACTAAAACAGTTATTATGAGCAACCATGACAAGGTAGGGTTTGTTTGTTTCTTTGTTTGCAGTATTAGGGGTTGAACCCAGGGCCTTCACACCGAGCCTTTTTTTACTTTTTGAGACAAGGTCTTGCTAAGTTGCTAAGTTCCTGAGGCTGGGCTTGAACTTGTGATCCTCCTGCTTGAGCCTCCCAGAGCGCTATGATTACAGGCATGTACCACTGTGCCTGGCTAGTGGTAGATTTTAAAAATGGTACAGAACAAAGCACCCAAGGATATTGTCATCTCTGTTGATAATAGCAGCTACAGTTAAATATCTACCCCTAAAAGAGGCATTGGATATAAAAGGGGTCCACATGTATAGCTTATAGCCTCCTTGGGAACACAGAATTTAGCTTGTAAGGGGTTGGTTTTATCACATCTGGCCTCTGCTGTGTAACATCTGTCAATTTGCAGATAAATTCATCTCATAATCTCATTCTGGATATACATGAAGTGTTACTTCCTGGGAATGGGAGTTTCCTTAACCTATTGCTACTACTAGGTTTAAAGTCAAACATCTCTGAAAGCTAAAGACCTTAATGAGTGAAAAAAAAATTTTTAAACCAAACATGACTTTCTAACTATATAAATAACATATTTATTATTGGAAAGTTAAATAACTATCAAAGTACACTGAAAGCAAGAAATATTTTTAATTCCACTACCCAGGATTCCTTACTGTACCTTCTCTGTGTGTGACAGGACATGTAGATCACCTGCTGTTTAGAGGGTGGCGTTGGGAAACTCCCGTCACCATTTGCACAACAAGCTTTTGCGGCTTATGTTCCAGCACAAAAGGACTGGGGACCTGATTTGAATCATCCAGATCTACCTTGCACAAGAAGTAGAGAATAAACTCACTGATAAAACCCTGAAAACTGAAATTGCACTGAGATTTGGAAAAAAAAAAAAAGAGGACAATGGATCAGCTGAGATGGAAGTAATAAATGATGCAAGGTTTAGAACACATGAGGAACTGCCTTGAATCATTAAGAAAAAGAAGAAAACCATTCACCAGTTTCCTGCCTTTTCTTTCACAAAGAAGGAGACACAAATGGCTCATATATAAAATGAAAATGAAAAGGTAATAAATAATTACCTTTATTAGAAATCAAAGTAATGAAAAAAATCACCCACCAGGATGGCAAAAATTCCTAAGTGTAATAATATCAAGTGTTGGGTAGGGTGCAGAGTAACCGAAACTCCTATATTCACAACCAATATAAAACTGGAAAAAATCACTATGTTATTTAAAGAAACTTGTGCACTTGTATCAGAAGAATACAAGAACATTCACATTCTTATTGGCAACAGCAAAAAACTGGAATTAATCTAATGTCCTTCAGTAACAGAGTATTACTATAGCAGTGAAAAGAAAAGAACTTTACAGGCTCAATCTCAGAAACATAATCTCAGATACATATTTTGAGGAGGAAAAGTAGGTTGAGCACTAACGTTGTTGTTCTAGGCATTATCCCAAGGGCTTGCAAGTATTATTTTATTACAGCCTCAAAACTCTAGAAGTACAGTTAGTAGTCCGACAAATGAGACGAGTTAGTTAAGACTCAGAGAGTCATTAAGTAACTTGCCCAGGTTTATAGGACAAGTTAGTGGTGGCCACAAAGCTTTTTGAGACAGGGTGGCCTTGAACTCACTCTGCAGCCCAGGCTGGCCTCACACTCTCAGTGATTCTCCTGCCTCAGACTTCTCAGTGCTGGGATTACAAGCATGTGCCACCATGTCCAGCTAAAACACATTTAATTTTAACTGTTTGTTTGGGGAGGGTCTCACTATGTAGCCTAGGCTGGCCTTGAACTTTCAGAGATCTTTGTGCCTCAACTTCCTGAGGGCTGGGATCACAGGCATGTGTCATGACAGTGGGCTTAATTTTAACTACTAGCTAAATATTTCAAATGAAAAGATGCTTCTCCACCTTCTTAGTTTAACCTTTCCTTGATAACTTGAGATAATCATCAATTATTGTCAATTACTGTCCCATGCTAATTCCTTTATAGATGTCCTCAAGAATCACTATCATACATAGGGAAGCTTGTCCTATGATTCAGATTAATGACATACAGACTTTCATACATTCCTTTTCTATCTGTGTGTTCACCTAAAACTCCTCCTCCTACCTAGCCACTCCGTATTCCTTATAGTCCCCCAGAAATGTCCTGCATTTGTTTGCTTCTGTGGGTTTTCTTCATCTTGGGTGCTGCCCCCCACAAACACTGCTGGCCACCTAAAATCCTGCCATTCTCCAAGCCCAACTTACAATCATTCTCTTCTATGAAGCTACTCCCTTTCTGTCACAAGGAATCTCCGTCTCCCTTAGCCACTGGGGAGTTTGTCCATCTTCTCATTCATTATCAGTGCCCAGATGTTTGTTTAATTTTTTTTTTTGTCTTTTTGAGACAGGTTCTCGCTATACAGTTCAGGCTGACCTTGAGCTCACTTTGTAGCCCAGGCTGGTCTCAAACTCACAAGGATCCTCCTGCCTCAGCCTACTGAGTGCTGGGATTACAGGCGTGCGCCACCATGCCCGGCTTGTTTAATGTTTTGTAGCTTATAGAATAGCTTTACATACATAGTCTCCAATTATCCTCATTATCATCACTTAACAGACAGGCTCATAAGAGGCACAATCCCAGGTCAGAACTCTTTAAAGTGCCCGCTCTCTGCTGCCAGCACTGGTGAGTCGTTGAAGATTCTACCTCAGTCCACTCCAATTCCACTGAAGGAAGGAAATTACGAAACAAAGGTAACCCTTCAGCAGCCCCCAACAGCCAGGATTGGCTTAACCCAGTGATCCCAAACCTAGTTCAGCCACAAAACTGACTGGGGGGCATATAGAAACTTCCTTAGACTAAACCCAGAGTTCCTGAATCAGAATTCCTAGAAATGCAACCTATGTCACCCTTCTCTATGTTTTAAAGTTTCCATCACGTTCCCAGCGATTACTTAGGTTTGAGTTAACAACCACGTGTCTGGTATTACTGAGATGTGTTTTCTATCTATGAATGAACAAACTACCCACACTGTTGCTTATCTATTCCAATTTAGCTTCTCTCTGTTGATGTCATGAAATGAGACTGAGCAAGAAGAGAATCATGGTCAGCAAGTTGGTATCCTAGCAGAGGCACAATGAGCTAATTGCCTTGTTTATTATTCTCCCTTGCATTAGTTCAGATGATCAGCAACAGAATGCGCCTGGGGCAGGAGGCTATTCTTCTAGGCCTGTGAATTTCTTACTCACCACTGTGATTGTTGAGACTCAGCATCTTGGAATTCTTTGCCATTTCAGCACTAAAAGCCTATGATAAGCAAAACAGAGCAGAGTCATAAGCAGGGGTTATAACCATTGTAACCTAAATCAATCAATCTCTCTCTCTCTCTCTCTCTCTCTCTCTCCACCCACACACACCACATTTGACGTCATCTGCTCTGTAGTCCCCACTCCCAAAGTCACAAATCTAAGGTAGCCTTCTGGAGAGCCCTAGGGAGAAGCAAATGCAACACCACAAACTATTAGAACATCAACGGAAAACAAGTACAGGGAAAATGCGAAGAAAACTAGAAGCTGGCATAAAAGAAGACTATGTGTTCCAAGGCAAAACATAACTATCCAATCATTCATTCATTCATTCAACAGCTACTTCAGATACCATTATGTCTGAATTAAGACTGTGGATATGTCATGCAAGAAGACAAATATTGGCAGTGGCTCTTGTAATTAATAAAATGAAAACTCATTTCTCAATATTATATGCTCACCAAATTTTGTAGACTGAGTAAGTGATCTGTTTTATATGAGCTAATTCCTGCAAAGTACTTAAAAAATGTAACGGGTATGTAGTAAGCATTCACATGTGTTAACTAAGGTAATCATTATTACATGAAAGTCTATAGAAAAAGATCTATGCATATTTCCATGCACCCCTTAACATAATATCTATGTGAAATAAGTCGTCTCTTCTAGGATTTGGAACCATCTCTCACTGTCTTCCTTGTTCAAAGTTGATACAATCGGTAGTAATTATTCTACTCAATAGACAGTTATTGGAGTAAAAACCAGATATTGCTTTGTGTCTCAGCCTGATATTTTCTGGGGCTGGGGATTTAACTCAGCAGCACAGCACCAGCCTGGCAAGCACAAGGTTGTGAGTTCAAGTCCCAGTACCGGGAAAACAAACAAACAAACAAAAGATATTTTCTTCATAAATTGTATTTGCAGCTGCAGTTTCCAAAGCAAAAAGCCCTTGATCTTACTATATTTAGTTACCTGGAGAGGTTATGATAGGATACCTTCCTGCTCTTTCAAGAAATAAAACAAACAAGGTAACATTACCTGCTGATAAATAGACTAATAAAAGTTGCCATACACAGTGGATAAAAATTAGCTTTCTCTAGAAGGTCATTTTAAAAGTCAGGATGTATGGGGATGGTGATGCATGCCTGTACTGCCAGCATTTGGGAAGCTGAGGCAGGAAGATTGCCACAAGTTTCAGGCCAGCCTGGGCTACATAGTGAGTTTTAAAAAAAATAACCTGAACTACATAGTGAGCCCTGTCTAAAAAAAATCAAGATGTATTACACAGACAGAAAATAACTAGGCAAGGCTTTCAAATGGGAAGAAGGATAACTAATTTAATCATGGCAATAACCCTGAAGAAAGAATGTGTGGATAACAAGCAAGAGGTCTTCAAGGAGCTTGGAAAAGTAGAGCTAAAGGGCAAGAATTCAGCAGTTTTTCAGCTCTGCCCATTAGCAAGCAACACCTGATCTGAGAGATATCAGTATTGCTTTCTAAAGAGGTGTTCATTCTTCTGAGCGGTAGTTTCTGGTCCAAGGTAGATAAGCAATACATCTTTAAATAACCATCCACTCCATTTCACAGATACTCAGCTCCAGTCAAGACCCTTACATCATGAAATACTGGTGAACACAAGTATTTCAGCCAGCTGGGGAATTATTTATTCACTTCTGGATTGGAAAGTATGAATGTCTGAATATAAATATCACTTAATTGTGAGCCGAATGTGAGTCGGACTTTTCAAGTCAGGTCAACTCTGGTTGTCTGACTAATATATCTTCTGGAATGTAGGAACTTTGCCAAAGTAACACCACCATGAGGACCTGTGTAAGTTGCCCTCTGATCTTTCTATATTCACATCTTCCACTGTAAGACTTACTTAGGAAAAAAAGAAATGCTTATGAGAAAGGCACATACTCATATCTCCATGTGGATAAAATAGAGTGTTAATACTGAAAAAGCCCAAAGGAATGATCACCGTTTGCTATATAACGTAAATTACTAGGTAAGATGATCCTCTTGAATTACAAAATGGAAAGATGTATTTCTCAAGCTATTTTTTCCCTGTATTTTTGATTAGTGGCTCAGAACATAGGCTCTTAGGGAAACAGACTGAGACTGGAGTCTTGGTGTAGCCCCTTGACCTGCTGCGTGCATGCTAACCACTGGGGTTTTCCTTTTATAAAATGGAGCTGTCACCAGTGGCTTCGTCGCAGGGCTGCATGGAGGATGGAATGAGACAGCTTCTGCTTAGCACAGTGTCTGGCAGTGCAATAGTCTGTGCAACGTGGCTATTTTTGTTATGATCCCTTAGGCAAGTGTTGAGCATGGGTTTGATCTTTGCACTTCTCTTCTTTCCGCTTTTGTCGAACTGCAGTGCACATTTCTGTTTGAGTGTTGGAGAGAATGAACTTTTTTTCTAGAAGTGGCTAATTCCACCTGTGAGGATACGATGCTTCATGCATGGTTCAGGGAAGTGCTCAGGGTACTCCCCGGGCTCAGTGATTGTGCCCTGTACGGTGGAAACTGGTGAACTTCCTTTGAAGGTTCACGGTGTCAAGAAGATGAGCTGCTTCATTGGCTCCTTCACCACCACGCTGCCGGCACTGTGGAAGCACAGCAGTGTGCCGGGGAAGCTGCGAGGATCCACCATGCACTGAAGCACATAAGACACCCTCCTCTACACACATGTCCCCTTTTTGGGTTAGACCCAAACTGACTTCCCTCTGGGATCACCTACAGGCGAGTTAATAAAGAATAGATGGAATTTGAGGGCAGTACTGAGGTTACAACAGTAACCACAAATACCCCTGCTATTAATAAACTCATTATATTAGTTAAAAAAAGATAAACAAATCACTTAATTAAATAAGTAAGCCCTCAGTGAACTGTAGCTCACGGAAGTTGATATAACAGCTAACCTTTATGGCAGGATTACCATGTGTCAGATAGTGTTCTCAGTGTTTTCCATTTAATCTTAATTCATTTAATCTTCATAACAGCTCCTCAAAATGGTAGTTATTATCCCCTTTTAAAGATGAGGAGCCGAGAGTTGTGGCACAGATCTGTAATGCTAGTACTTGGGAGGCTGAGGAAGGATTGCCACAAGTTCGAGGACAGCCTGGGCTCCATAGTGAGTTCAAGGCCAGCCTGAACTACATAGCAAGACCTTATCTCAACAAAACACCCTGATAATAATAATAATAATAATAATAATAGTAATGAGGAGGAGGAGGAGAAGGAACCTGGTCGAGCATGGTGGCACACGACTGTAATTCCAGAACTTGGAAGGCTGAGGTAGGAGGATCACTGTGAATTCAAGGTCAGCCTGAACTACACAAAGAGACCTTGTCTTGAATACCCCCGAAATTAAAGCTAGGGAAACTGAGGCACAAGTAAGGAAACTAGCCAGCCCAAGTGCACACAGCCAGTAAGAGGGAAAGCCAAGGCTGATAGGAATTTTGGTGGAAAAAATTCCTTTATTGGAGAGAAAAAGACAAAAAATATGGTTTAAATACACTGGATTTGAAATGACAATGAGAGATTGAAGCAGAAATGACTGAAGGTTGGAGATATAGGTCTGGAGTGAGCTCAGAAAACAGGGATAAACAGAGGTTGTAGAAGTTGGAGGAACGATGCATTCTTGGAGAAAGGGAGAAGGAGGGAAAGGACCTCACCCAGAAACCAGGTCTCTGTTTACCTCTAAAGGGCAGAAGGAAAACTAATGCCAACAAAGGAAAAAGGAGACGCTAAGCCGTGGAGTGACATCTGCTAGCCGATCAGAGGTCGGCAAGTTCTAGAAATTAAATACTGTATAGCACTGAGCTGTGGATCTTACACTGGAGATACTGAACAGATGAGGTTGAATGAATGAACAAACCATACATACTGAAGGTACTAACTCACCGTATATGTCCCCAGATCCCCTGGAAAGATCACAAACTTCACAGTTAGTTTTTTTTTTGAATGGTCTTTGGCAAACTTTAAAACTTCAGCAAACATAATCTCTGCCACTGTATTCTTCGGCATACCAATGTTTCCAGTCCCAAGGGCAGGAAAGGAAATGGAAGTTATATTTAACTCAAGGCATTTTTCCAAGCATTCGTTTACTGCTTTTTTCAATGTCTGTAAGAGAAATGCACATTTAAGATCAGCTTTTGAATCAGAAATAAGACTTCATGTGTGCCTCGATTCTGTTCGTATTTTACAATGCTAACCTCCACTTGTGGTCAAGTTCCTATCCCTCAGAGGGCAAGAAAGGTGTCGGCCCATGGGGAACCCACTACAAATATATGGTTAGATAATGAGCAATGAAAGAGCTGAGAAACTGAGGTACTGAGTGGCCCACTGTGTGCCACTCAGGTCAGAGGACACTATGACTTCTTCCAGTGCGTTGGTCTCACCTCCCGCCCAAGTCAGTGAGCTACCATCAGCTTGATCTCACTCCCCTGCCACTTCTAAGCCAACATGAAGAGCTCTCGGAGTTTTAGTAAAGGAGAGATTAAAATAAGCCAACAATATTTAGGCAGCATCACTGAGATCTATTATGTAATTTCTCCTGGAGAGATGGTAATATTTTTGGCAGATTCACATTTTCTACAAGTTTTCAACATCAAATTGAATTACTGTTGCAGGAAGGTTGTCTGTGAAGGTTGTCACCTTGGAAAAGTGAGGGAGAGACAATGGTTGGAGAACCAGTCCAGGATTACAGAGCTCTTCAGCCAAGAGAGAATGGTACAGACAAAAGAGAGACAAAGGCAGAGACAGGGATTAAATTTCTCTTTCCATATTTGTTTTGTTTGGTTTGCTTTTTTGAGACAGGGTCTTACTATGTAGTTCAGGCAGGTGTTGAACTCACAGCAATCTTCCTGCCTCAGCCTCCCGAATAATCCCTCCGCTCTTGGGATTACAGGAGTACGCAACTAAAACCGGGCCTTTTTTCTATATTTGAATGAGCTCTCTCTATTCTTTAATGCTTGTATTTTATAGGTCTCAGAGGAAGAGTTGACCGGCGAATCAATTCCTTCTGCAGGCACATATAGGCAGAGATCACAGGTAATATATCATACTGAAATGGTGCTGGGAGGGAAATCTCAGCCTCCCCCGCCGGAATTTAAAACATGGAGTGACATATACAGAGGCTGAGCCCTGGCCTACATAGGAAAAAGCTCACAGGGTGCTGAGTGTGATGAGGCAAACCAGAATACAGACTAAGGGGGGTCTGTTGTACTGGGGTCATTTGCAGTATGCTCACTTAAAATTTAGTCCGGGGTAAGTCACGTTTCAAACTGCACTTCTTCTTTTTTTTTTTTTTCTTTTTGAAACAGGATCTCGTTATGCAGTTCAGGCTGGCCTTGAGCTCACTTTGTAGCCCAGGCTGGTCTCAAACATACAATGATCTTCCTGCCTCAGCCTCCCGAGTGCTGGGATTACAGGTGTGTACCACCACGCCTGGCTCAAACTGCACTTCTTAAGAGCACTTGTGACAACCATACTCGTTCAGTATTTCATGCGTTTACAGGCATGTTTCAAGAGGGAAACGCCACCATTTGACAATATTTCATGGATGCAATGAAACAATGGACATTTAACAAACTGGTTAGACCATGCAGCTATGTGAAGTTCATTTGAACTTACCAAATGTCGGTATTTTGGATCCCACAGTATATGGAATACATTTTGACAGGACAATTCAAATCCTTTCGTGACCAGTACAGATTGGGAATCCGAAGTCGGTTTACCTAGTTGTTCAGTAAGTTCCCATTCTAGTTCGTTTCCTGCTTTTTGTAGAATTGACGTTGACAAAGGTCCACCTCTTAGGTCGTAAGGGTTTACAGAATTAACAATCACCTCTGTCTGAAAAAGGATGAAAGCACAGTATTCATTATTACATTCCTATTTCTTAAGTCACTAATTTAAGTATTTCCCTAGGGAGATTTGAAAAATACTTTCTTGAAGATCTCAGATCCACAAACATTGATCTAATAATGATTAGAAACTACTATAACCAGAGAGTGATCATTTGATGGTCGTGATGCTCTTTGTTCTATTCAGAAATTACATAAATATATGGACTACCTAATTTTTATTGCAGACACCTGTGAGTACTCTGCTACATCACACCTCTTCTATGTCTCGATTCTGAACATTCCTTGTGATTGCTTTTAAGATTATCAATAAATAGCTCACTTCTCTGTCCTACCACCACCACTCTTTGCTGTTTCTGTGTGGGTTGTCTCGTTTTTATTTTACAAGTCCAGTGCGCTATCTATTGCACCACAGAGCCTCGTTTTTATTCTAAACAGAGAGGAAATAAAATTTCTACCACCTAAGATATGTTTTAAAATAAATAGTACTTGAGTAAAATCTAAATGGAGCAAAAGGACTTCAATGAAAAGTGGGCTTCCCTTTTGGTGGGGTCCCTAGATCTGCTTACCCACCCATGCTACAGGCAACCACTTTTACCAGTTCTGTGTCTATTTTTCTTGAAACAGACTAAACAGTACATGTTTGTAGGCTGTATTTTCAATAACATTATTTCATAGCTCTCAGAGCTATGCTAAAGGGGGTTGTGTCTTTCCTCCCCGTATGTCCAAATTCCACTAATCATACCGATGGATCTGACCCCCTTGGGGTAACTTAAGTGCTTCTATGGATGTTAGTGAATATTTCACTTTGTTTGTTTTGGTTTTTTTGAGACAGGGTCTCACTATGTAGCCCAGGCTGGCCGAGTGCTGGGATTATAGGCATGCATCACCATGCCCTGAGAATGTTTCACTTTGAAAGTGCAAGCAGAATTTGCCATTTGAGGACAATGACAGTCTTTAAAAAGTGTAAATTTCCTAATACTGTTAGAAATAAATAAATACAATAACATTTTAATTCAATGAACAAGTTATTTAACTAGGATGTTTCCACTTTAATGTTAAATGGGCTTTAATGACTTCTCAAATATTTTGTTTCAGAGGGTCCCCTCATTCTTCTAACTTCTTGTAGGCTCTAAATGGTATTTTTACTGTTGGTTAAGTCTATCTGATTATGGCCACAGAAGATATCACTGATCTAGAGGGGAAAAAAGAACACAACCTTGTTTCTTCTCTCCATCTGTTGCAGTCCCCATTTCCTGCTTCCCCTTCCACTTATTCCTCATTAATCTGCCGAACACCTAGTCGGAGGTGCTTGCCTACACCAGGCCCTGGGGCTACGGAGATGGGCAAACCGTGTTCCTCCTCCTAGGTGCTTTCTGCCTGGCAGGGGAGCTGCCTTAGCCCAGAAATGCCTAGGTTTACTGCTAGCCTCTCCTCCTTCCCTCCCTCCCAGTGTCCTGGCCCTTGTGTCCAGTAAGCCCCAGCTAAGGGGTACGTCACCCTTAGTATTCTCCACAGCCCCAGGCACAGAGCTATACACACAGAATGGGACTTCCAGCTCCACCTGTGTCCACCTATGACTCTAGTCAAATTCATCATGTCCTATCAATTCCTCTGTGTCTCTCTGATCAGGTCACTCTAACTACCCTGAAAGCTTTCCCTCCTGCCAGTTCATGCTCATCGCAACTTGAGCTCAGTTTCAAAACTCATATCTCTTGAAATAGTTTTTCTTGGTCTGCTATACTGTACTGGTGTCACAAATTCATATGGTCTTAAATATTATTTTTATGACTACTGATAGATTGTTTCAGAAATGTTGACATGGTTTGTTTCCTCAGTGAGATTGTCCAAGTAAAGAGCTTGTTAGATAAAAAAGAATACAGTAGATTTTAAGTTCCTTGGGATCAAAAGTTATTCTAATTTTTCATGGTGCCTACGAATAATAGCAATAGCAATAATAACATGCCAAGCACTATTCTAAGCATTTTACAGGTATTGCTTCCAGCTCTAATATATAAGTGCTACTATTAGCCTCATTTTACAGATGAGGAAAACTAAAAGGTAAAGCAGTTTGTTTTAGATTACTCAGTTTGTCAGTTGCAAAGCTGGTATCCAGATGGTATGGTCCTGAAGTCCACTTTTTACACACACTGAACCCAGGGCCTCGTGCTGAACTGTAATCCCCCCTTTTTCACTGTTGTTATTTTTTAAATTTTGAGACAGAATTCCACGAAGTTGCCCAGGCTGGCCTCAAACTTGTGACCCTACTGCCTCAGACTTCTGAGTAGCTGAAGTCAACATTCTTATTCCCAACAAGATGCTCTCCACACAGGGTTGCAAAATATATACTCTAAAACCTCTTCATGGTTAATTAACATTTCAAGGGTCCCCTTTGGCAGTGGGAGAGAACAGAAGCAAAGATTTACCATCTGCTGTTCAATGCGGCCCAGGACGATCTGCAGAGTCAGGCCCTGGACTGTTAGAATATTGACAGGAGGAGTGGTTTCTTGACTCATCCAGGCACCCAGCTCATTCTTCCCTAGGAAGGCTTCTGAAGCAGTTTTAAAGGAAGCCACAGTAGGGTCCTCGTTGCTTACCAGGTGAATTTCTTTCAAATTACCAACCATTTGGTTCTCATGAAGATAACACGCAATAGTTTCTAAAATAGTCTCTGTACACAAATCCAGAGGAAACTGGAAAATTCCAGAGCTCAGGGCTGGAATTGCAACTGTCTTAATGCTCTTTTCATAGCTCACAAAGTGCAAAATGTTGAAAATAGCACATTTCAGTTTATGGATACATCCCTGTGGGTCCGTTGCCTGCCACTGAGGCCCAACAGCATGGATAATCAGGTTGCAGGGAAGCCGTCCTGCTCCAGTGATGGCTATCTCACCGGACGGTATTCTACCACGGGCGGCCACAGTTGCTGTGCTCTCCACTTGGATTTCATGGCCACCAGCTCTCACCAGGGCCCCGGCCAGGCCGCCCCCATGTACAAGGAATTCATTGGCTGCATTCACCACAGCATCAACAGCATGTCTGGTGAGGTCATCCTTCCAGACAGACAATTCTAGTCCAGGGATCAGCCTTTTTCTGAAGACTTCCTGAGCCAGAGGCTGGCTGTTCCCTTGCAGGGCTGGAGCAATCAGGGTGGAGAGACAGCCAAACTTAGCCAGCAGTACTGCGTACAGCCGACTCTCCTGACTTTCTAAAATTGTGAAGTCACTGTGATTAATGGGAATTTGGCGGTTAAAGCTTTTAACAAAGTCAGTCGCTGGAAAAGAAGAGAAGATAAAATAATAAAGAAACGAGCAAAAGATCCTTTGAAAAGCACGTGATTGTATTCATACTAGGAAAATGAGTTATTTGCAAGAGGATAAACTTCCTCTAGTGCCCTGACTGATTCTCCTTTTCACTGAGACACATAATTAGACCAAGAATATCCAAAAGTGTTCAATGGTAGGTCATCTGTAAGTGCTTACTCTTGTGCCTGGCATACAGTAAGTACTCCATAGTGCTAGCTACTGTGCACAGTGATGGTAGTGAGAAAACTGCGTATGTGGCTCAGGAACCCTTTAAATGTATGTAAAAGTGGCGAGTTTAGGAAGACCCATGATGAACACATGCATATTTGAAGGAACTTTACCATAAATTAGAAACACAGGGAGGCTTTGTTCATACATTTTTTTTGCTTTCTTGGGGCCTCATACTAGGTTCTCTAAAAGCAAGCCCTGAGACAAGAATTTTGAGTGCTGATAGTTTCTTTGGGAAATGCTCTTAGAAAACATTATGGGCTCTGGTTAAGGAGGGCAGGGTAGGAAATTAAAAGGAAAAAAATGAAAAGTCTGTGTTACTTAATAAATGAAGCTTAACTCTATTGGCAGACAGTGTAGATCATGTGCCTCAGAGTTATAACCCAGAGGGGTAATTATAGGAGTTAGAGTACTTATCCAACCTTTGTGTGTCACTGGCCAAAGCTATTCCTTGGTGAAAAAGGGTAGAGGGACTTCAGGCCAGCAAATGGGTAAAGCATTGTCAATTTCTAGTACAGTAAATAATTCAGTGTTTGTGTTCCATGGCATAGTCAAAATTAGTTGAGTAAAATCTATTTACCATATGGGGCAGACAAGATGCCAGCTTGATGCCAAGCTCAGATCCTCCTTCAATTTGGTTATGAAGTGGGAAATACGGTAAGCTTGCAGCCTCCAGCTCTCACTCTCTGGAGGGTTCATCTCAGCTCTCTGGCAAAGAGGCACCCTTTTCTCAGGATGACCCCCATCAGGGGCTGAGCAAGGCCACTTATGCCCAACATGGGACACCTCTAACCAGCAGGTTTTCATTATAGACTGATGGCTCCAGCTGCCCAATCTGGATTCTTTTCTTTCACAGTGAACCATTTGCACCATTTTATTTTTGAAAAGTCCAACCTGGACACAATATTTCATGGAGCCTAAGACTCTGTAATTACATGCCTCTGATAAAGGAAAAACAATGCCAAATGAACTGTGGTAGCCTTATTTCAGAAGTGTGAAAAACTGTGCATTCTAAAGTAGATAAAATGTGGTAATTACTTATATAGTACTTCAATTTCTAATCTGGGCCACCTAGCAAGATGGCTGGTGGTCTCAGTGACTCAAAGAAGCAGCAATCAAGTATCTGGGCTCAGCTGACTTCAGCTTTGGTTGGCAATCTCACATAAGCCAGGTAGGATTTATCTCTTTCACCCTGCTCAGCAAGAGGACAATCAGTTGTCCACTCCTTCTGGCCAATTTCAGCAGCAGAGCTGTAGTCAGGGCAGTCTTACAGCTGTTGGACGAAGGGAAGCACCAATGGGGCCCTAAGAGAACTCCAGCAGGGACCCACAGCCTGGAGGCAGCCACTTCCTGCAACAAGTATGGGGTTGCCACTGGGACCTGCAGCCACGCACCTGTGCGCCTGAGGACAGAGTTTCCTTCCGTATTCCCTTTTCTCCACTGAGGAAAGATCTGAGCAAAGCCCTTCTGAAATAAGAGTGACAGTGAGTTGATCCTACCTGATTTTTCACTGGAAGATGCTGCTCCAGCACCCTGTGAAAAATGAGAACAGCTTTTAAAAACAACTGAAGCTGAATGACTACAGATAACTACTACTGACTACAAATACAGTCTGATAAACACAAATTAGAATCTCTGCTCAGAGCACTGGGTTTGGGCAGAAGCCCGTGGCATTTTGTTGTTATTTGTTTTTCTGTGCATCTGACACACTGAAAATACTACATGTTCCATCAAGCACTGACCCATCTCACTTCCCTAGAGGTCAGTGTACTTCTAATTCAGAATGAGATGAAGGGTCAGAGATGAACACTTGGAAAGTGCCATAGGTCACAGACCAAAATAACTCCAAATTCTCAGAACAGGCTCCAGTTTCCAAAGTCTTGTGGGATTCCCCCAGACAGAACAGGAAAGGACCCATTTTCAACTATTTCACAACACAAGCCTTAATGTAGAATATCTGGATTCAGGAAATGAAATGTCTTTCCTTATTCCTTTGATTTTATTCCTTCGGGAGGCTGAGACAGGAGGATTGTTGTGAGTTCAAGACCAGCCTGGGCTACAAAGTGAGCTCAAGGCCAGCCTGAACTGCATAGCAAGCGAGACCCTGTCTCAAAAAGACCGAAAAAAAAAAAATTTTTTTTCATTCCTTTTCTATTATCCCCTTCCCTTATCCTGAGAAAAGAATTGCTGAATAAGTGAAGAGAATCCAAACAATGTGGAAGGGACATTTAAAAAAAAATCTATCCTCAGGTTGACTCCATCAATTAAATTAGCATATTGTCTTGCTTCCCCATTTTCTACATAGTACAAGGAGAAGACCACACCAGAATGTTAGGTATAACCAAAGACTCCAAATTTCTTGCTGTTATGTATGTACTGATTGGGGCTCATGAAGTACAGACATTGACATTTTTTACCATGGAAAAGGCCATCTTCCAGGTCCCCGGGTGGGTCTTTGAACGTTTATACCCTCTTTCGTGTTTCCAAATGTAGACTGTACTTCCCAGATACGGTGGCCTACTTCTAGGAATAAACAGAAAGAACACAGTGAGCACTGACCGCAAGTGGAGGAAATGTGCCAATATTTTATTCTGATCCTGAGTGGTTTTTTCCCTTTGGTGAATGAATATGCACATGTTGTTTTGCTCTTGTTGTTACTGTTTACCTTCTGTCCTCTCCAGGAATGGTTCTGATTGAACCAAGGTGGCAGCTCAGAGGAGAAAAGCTGTAAGGGAGGACCAGGGAAAACTTTATGGAAAAGGTAACACTCCAGCCAGGCCTTGAAGGACGCAGCAGATTTTTACATATGTAGCAGAGGAAGATAGCAAAGTGATGAGACTGAACAAAGCATTCAAAGAACTATGAAGAAAAAGCAGCCTTGCAAGCCAATGAAATCCCCTAGAGAGTGGTTTTTTGTTTGTTTGTTTTTGTTTTTTGAGACAGGGTCTCTCACTGTGTAGTTTAGGCTGTCCTTGAACTTGCTATGCAGGCCTGGTTGGCCTTTTACTCAAGCATCTTCCTGCCTCAGCCTCCCAATGGAGCGTGTTTAAAGAAAGAGGACACTCTGTTCGTTCTTGTGAGGGCTGTGTGTTGCTGAGTTTGTGGTAAATATCTTTGACAGAACTAGACAGCACATATCTGGATAAAAAAAATCAGAAAATCTGGGGGAAATAACATCGTAATGATTTTCCACCTCATAGGTGCAAATTCAACGGTTGTGCATTGTTAGAATGAAAACTCTTAAAGAAAACTCTTCAAGATATGGTGGCCCACACTTGCTGCTATCTTTAGATCTATGACGTGATTCCTAATGTCTTTACAACAGAAAAAAATATATACCAGCTACAGCATCAGAGCACTATTATTTTTATCTGTGTAGGAAGAGTTAAATCTAGTACAAGGGCCGAGGAAACAGTTCAGTGGCACAGGGCCTGCCTGGCAAGCCAAGGTCCTGAGTGTGATTCCTGGCACCCAAAAAACAAAAACAAAAACAACAACCCCTCCCCCTCAGTAAATCTAGTACGAGACCGAACGGCAAGGGCAAGATGCATTTCTGCCTCTAGGGGGCACTGCTGTTTTCACAAAAGAAGGACGACTTCCGGGTAGGCTGTGGGTTGCTGTTTTTTTCCTGTAGATGTCGCCCTTGTTTCTGTTTTCAGCCCAGGCCTTAAAGGCCTAGAGGAAAAACATGGCTGTAAAGGTGGCATTCACAGCCTCCATTTAACCCCAAAGAATTAGAAACATGAGGCACATGACTTAAAACTTTCATCTCTACCTTAAAAAAAAAAAACAATAAGGACAAAAGCCCTCCCAATTTTCCATCACTGGTTGCAGCTGTGTTTCTGTCTCTTCATAGTGAACCAAACTTGTGGAAAGAGCAGTTGATTCTCCAGCTCACCTGCCTGCTCGGCCCACCAGAGTCTGGCTCCCGGCCTCAGCCTTGCTACTCCTGTGAGACTGTCAGTGTCGTTCATGTGGTTAACCCCAAGGAACTGTCATAGAAAAGACAGTTTGACCCCTTTCTGAGGCATTTCATTCTTTGATCCATGAAACTTAGCTTTCTTGATTTCTCCTATGCCTTCTTGGTTGTTTGGATACCTCTCGCTTTATCTTTACAGTTCTTTTCCCTGAATTCGTTTCCACTCATTAATTGTTTGCTCAGGATTCTAAGAGGCTTTTCTTATCTCATTCTACATAATCTGCTTCGACAGTTCCATCCACTCCCAGGGTTTTAACAGTCAACTGCAAATAGGACCCTCATATCTATATGTCTAGGTGATGGCTCTTCTAGGCCTCACTTTCCAACTCTACCTCACTGTCACATAATGCCCTCCAGTACAGCCTCGGCAAAACTTTCTTATTCCTAGTCCTCCCTTCTGTTCTCACTAAAATTCATGCTTTATTTATTTGCTGGATTCACAGTTGAGTAAATGATACACCATTTGCCCACTCAAATCAGAAATCTAAGAATTATCCTTAAATCTTCTATTCTGTCCCATATGCAGTCCATCTCTGGGCCCTGACCATATAAGTCACTCTCAAATATGCCCCTACTCTGCTTTCCCTGAGATGCTGCTACACCCCAGTGTCTCAGCAATACACTTGTATTAGTCAGCTTTTTAATCACTAGGACACAATACCCAACACCCACAAATTAAAAGAGAAGAGATTTGATTCAGCTCACGGTTTGGGGGCATTCAGTCCATGGGAAGCTAGCAGCCAGGAAGCAGAGAAGGTGATCAGTGCCAGAGAGGAAAGGATGAGGGAATAGACATATACAGGACCCCCAAGGCCAGACCTCAATGACCCACCCAGAAGTGTGCTCCACCAATTCCCTGTGCAGCTCCCAAAACCAATTAAGGTGACACTGCACACTAAACTGCTGTAATACTCTTTCTAAACATTTTCATGTAGTATCTGATTTTACAGTTAGTTGTTGGAGTAGGTATTACATTTATATGCCTCAAATTCAGAAAGTGCAAAAGGCCTGCTCATATCTTTCTCACTAAATTCCAACCATAAGAAATCAGTGCCTATCCTGTATCCTTGTAGAGGCATCTGTTCATGAAAGGTAGCATTTTATACATGCTCTTCTGTGCCTCATCATTCCCACTTAACGTATCTAGAGATCTGTCCACTAGTAGCACACTGAGATTGCCCTCATTTTTAAAAAACTACTCATTGTATTCCATGGTAGAGATACACTCTAAGTTATTTAAATACTGGCCCCTGTTTATGGACACCCAAGGAAACTCAATCTTGAACTATTATAACAAGACTGAAAAATAACCTTATACAGAGGTCACTTCACACAGGAGCTTATGCAGCAATGGGACACATTTCTAGAAGTGGAACCGCAAAGTATATGCAGTTATAATTCTGATGCCAAACTGCCACCAGCAAAGACTGATCCATATCCAGACTTACCTGTCACATGCAAAAGTCTTATCTCTGGTCTCTCCCTGCTTGGAAACGTATCCTGTGCCTCCTTGTCAGCCTCTTCTTTCTAAAACTGCCATTTCACTTTCCTGCTTTCCTTGTCCCAACTTTTCCATTTCTCTTCACCAGTCGTGAAGGCCTATCACCATCTAGAGTGGTGCTTTCTAAGGTAGACCATTATTAGATATATGTAGTTGTTGAGTATTAGGTAGACATGGTTAGTCTGAATTGGCATGTGAGGTACGTGTAAGAAAAACAGTGGATGGTAAAGATTTAGCATGCCAGAAAAGAACATCCACTATCCTATTAGTGCAGTAGGACTACTGGTACCGGGAGACCACTCCCCCTGCACCATCTGAATTTAGGCCACACCCTGGGACCAATCCTCCTTCCAGTGTCCTAAGAGAAGCAGAAATAAAAATAACAATGATCATGAAATCTCTCATGCTTCAGGCCAGAGCACATGCATGTTAGTGCTCGTGGCCTGACATTCAGTAACCCTTTCCCCACTCGAACCTTCTTAAAGGTTCATATCTATGGCCTGCATCTCCTGTATGTGCTTTGATCAGATTGCATTCTGGGATAGGCATGCTTATTATCATGCCTCTGAGAGGACGCAGCACCCTGTCAATCGTTCCTATCACTCTTATCCAGGGACCCAATGAGAGGCTCCGGGATGGGGCGCACATCATTTAAAATCCAAAGCCTGATTTATCTGTGTCTCTTATTTCCATTGCCCCTGAGACCCGTTTTCTGCTCATGCCGCCTTTTTGTTTCTGTTAGCAGAGACCTGCGCTGGGCACACCTTCCTGTTATCTACAATAAATGTAGTTGCCTTTCCTTTTACATTGGATGAACACTTGTAGCTCTTTGCTTGCCGTACACAAGAACCTAGAATCTATCTCTCAGATCCATCATGTGGAATCACCATTACGCGCTGAGATGATTAAAGTTTGGACAGCCGGGCATGGTAGCGCATACCTGGAATCCCAGCACTCAGGAAACTGAGGCAGGAGGATCACCGCTGGGCTGACGGCCCTGTGTGAGCCACACAGTGAGTTCAAGGCCAGCCTAGACTACATAGTGAGACCCTGCCCCGAAAAACAAAGCAAAACAAACAAACTTTGGATATACTGTGCTAAAGACCAGGTCAGTAAAATTAATTTCAGCTATTTTGAAATATGACTGAAAATAATGAATTTTCAGCTACTTTGAAAAATTCTGAAAAGAATTTTAGAACTCACATTCACAACTCCCATCCTGTTTCTGTTGGACAGCAGAGATCCGCGCAGGCCCTTCCTTAGTCCCTTGTTCTCCTCACCTCTCCCTGTCCCCATCTGCTGGCAGGTCGGCCTCACCTTAGGGGCTGGTGGCCAGCCAAGGAAGGAGGGCACAAAAGCCCCCAGCGCCGATCTCACGGATGGAGTTGAGTGAGGGAACAGGGAATGGGTCACAATGCAGGTAAAAAGCCTCAGTCACAGGAAATAAAAACTAAGTCTAATCTAAATTTAGAATGTGAATCGTCTCTTACCGTAAATAATAGTAAGATCGGCACAGTCGAAAGTTAACTTTCTCTGCCCAGCCCTCGAAGGAGGAAGCCCCACCAGGACCCCGGTGGTCTCTGCGCTTGCAGGACAGGGACCCCGAGAGCCTGGGGGAGCCCCGACCCCAGCATAGAGACCTACTCACCCGAAAACGGCGGCCACCCGAGCAGCTGCAAGAGGACCGGGAGGAGGCTCTGCCGGGAACAGGGAGGGACCTCCGGGGAAGCGAAACTGAAACTCCGGGCCCGGTCGGCGGGGCGGGTCGCGCCTCAGCCCCGAGCCTCCCGGCCGCGTCCCGAGCCCCGGAGCCGGAGCCGGATCCCAGGGCCATGGAGCCCGACCTGTCGCTGCAGCTCCTAGCGCGGGTGTCCGCGGGCGCGCCCGGCGTCCGCTGGAAGCTGGAAGCGTACTTCCAGAGCCGGAGCTCCGGCGGCGGGGAGTGCACCGTCCGGCCTTGGAACCCTAGGGAGCCCGACACTTTCCTGGTGCAGTTCAGAGAAAGGGCAGGTGAGTCGCGGACAGCGGGTGCGGATCGCCCTGGGGACCCAGAGCTGGCGGCCCCAGTTCATGCTGGGAGAGGGTGTCACAGAGGGTGTCACTGGCCGTGGGGGACAAGAACGGGGCCCCCTGCTCCCAACAGACTCCTCCGCCCTCCAACTGATGTGCACAGGTTCTGTGCAAATAGAACACCACTTTGAATATCGAATTCAAGCAGGTGTGCATTTGGGTGTCCTGGGGGGGGGGGTGGTCCCTGAAGCCAATCCACAGAGATAGAGAAAGCCAACTCCGTCTGACACCTCTCCCATTTCTGTGTGAATGTGTCTGATGTCTCTCCTGAAGCCAAGGAGGGAGTGCTGAAAAAAGGAAAGCATGAAATTCAGGTTTATGGCAAACCTGTGACCATTTCCCTGGAAACTCCTGAGAATCTAACAGAGAAGAACCCGAGATCCAAGATTTCTTCAAGGGCCCAGTCCCAAAAGGAGGCCCAGTCTGATGCAAAGCACTCACGTGAAGGTCCTGTTCCTAATGCTGTGGACCCCTGTGTCCAAAAGGTGAGTGATGGCTCAAGGAGCTGCCTCTGTGGGCACCACACCTGCCGTGTCAGCCCAGCAACCAAGCCCTGGGGACAAGCTGGGAGCCAGCGCTGGTTCAGTCGCTGAGACTCAGTGAACAAAGCAAAGTCCTTCCTCTCCTGCAGCTTGCTTTGGGGCCTAGGAGGTGGACAGAAGGATAAGCAAGCAAAGGGAAAACACAAATAAAGACTAAAACCACTGCAGTAAGAAGAGGATAAAATAGGGTTTTGCCTCAGAGGGGAGCAGGGCCAGGGTGAGAAAGAGGACAAGACATGGCTAAATGTTGGAGCCAACTTTTCGGCAGAATCAACATTTGGTATGAGACTCACATGATAGGGAGGAGCCAGCCGTGCAGAAATAAGAATATCGAGTGCCTGCTGGGTACCAGGCACTTTGTGGGGCCTGGGGACACAGCCAGGCACTAAAGAGACTCCGCAGTCAGGGCCCTTACTTTCTTGTGAGGGGAACGAATAATAACAGCGAACAAGTTGATAGGTACTGAAATGCCTTCAGTGGTAAGTGCTAGGAAGACTAATAATGAAAGATGAATGATAGACAGTGACCGAGCCACTGTTTGAAACAGACAGTCAAGAACGTCTCCAATGAGGTGTCATCTGAATAGAGACATGAAGGAAGAAAGGGAGCTACCTGGGCGAGTTTCCAGGGGAAAAACATTCTAGGCCAAGGGAAGTCCCCAAGATCTTCCATCCTGAGCCCTAGAAGCTTCAAGGAAGCCAGGGCTCAGGGAGGGCCATGAGCAAGGGAGACAGTGCTAGAACTTGGAGAGGTACCCAGAAGTCAGATCTTTGGGATGCTGAAGAGAAAGGCTTCCGATTTTAACTGAAACCTTGAGAGATTCACCAGATGTTTTTGAGGCAGGTGAGTGGAGCCATCTGGTTTACACTTTCTGGCTGCTGAGCAGAAGCTCACATGTGGCGGAGCCCAGGTGGGAGATGCTTCAGGGGCGAGGTAGAAGATGATACTGGCCTGGACTCCAGGTGGTCCTCACAGAGGTGTGAGAAGAGACTGGGTTCAGGAGACAGCTTGAAGATCTAGAAGAAGAATATCCCATGCAAAGGAAAGAGTGTGTGCAAAAAACTTGAAGGGGGGCAAAGCACTAAACGATTTGCGTTTATATTACACTCAGCCTCTTTCCTTTTTATCCCAGTGTGATGTGTCGCAATTTGAGCTTCTAAAGACCAGGGTATAAAAGGGCCTAGGCACTTTGCATGAAGTCAGGTGTTTAGCTTTTTGTTTTGTTTTCTTTTAAGGAAGGAGAATAAGTAAGAGAAAAAGTAATAGAGGGAAAAAATCCTCCTCGGATTTATGGTTCCCTCCCAAGCTCATAGACACTTTTGTGAGGATCACAGCAACTTGGCCAGAGAACAGAAGTGCCTTTGTGTCCCCATGGTCACACAGACAGTAGCAGCCCTAAATCATAGATCTTGCATCTGTAAAAATGCTCATGCCCAGGTTCTACTGTAGGCCAGTTACATGAGTCTCTGGGGCTGGGTCTCAGCCTTGGCTTTTTTTTTTGTCCCAGTGAAGCTAATATACAGACTGGATGGAGACCCTCTGGTCTGTAGCATACTGTGTCCTCTGAGAGGATTTGAGCAAGGTAACCCTTGCTAAAGATAGTGGCTGTGTTTCTGTAGTTTCTAGGCATTCTCCTGAAAGGCAGACTGTGAGATGGAATGTCTGAGAGATTTTATTTGTTCCTGTTCCTTTTAAATTTCAGATCTTCTTCACTGTAACAGCTGATCTGAACTGTGACCTGCTCTCCAAAGAGCAGAGGTCACAGGTAGCCACTGTCTTCCCCGGTATCAAAAAGGTGGAGGGTCCCAATGGAATTGAGAGCGTCTGTGGTGACTTCGAAGATATTAAAAAAATACACCAATTCTTGAGTATGCAGCTGCTGGAAGGAGAGCAGAAACAGGAGTCCTCCCCTTCCACCATAGAGAGGAAGCTGCCTGGCCCGCATGACTGCGACAGAAGATTTTCTCCTTCGGAATCCAAAACCAGGTCAGAAGAAAAAGACAGCCCTTTTAAAGTTCCCTCGTCTCTCTTTGAATACTTCAAATATACTTGTCCTGATAAAATAGATTGGATTGAGAAGAGGTTTGGTGTAAACATCAAAATTCAAGAGAGTTCTTCCAGTATGGTCTATGTACTCTTCACCTGCGGTGAATCGGGTGACTTAGAAGCAGCTCGAGAGTCTTTTGTCAGTGAGTTTCAAAAGAAAACAGAATCTCTGAAGCAAGAGTGTGTCCCTGTAGAGGACAGGAAGCAGGCACATGAAATCAAACAAAAACTGAGCCACTGTTTTCCAAAGCTCCTCATAAAGGAGCACAGAGAAGGGCTAACTCTCCTCGGAACCGTAGACGACATCACAGCTGCCAAACAAACAATATCAGAAGGTTTTGTCAAGGTGCCTGTGAAAATCGTGGCTCCCAGTTCCATGATGAATGCAGTTGAGATTGATACTGCTCATTATAAGCTTCTCAAAGCTGAATTACTCCAGGAGATAGCAGAGACAGAGCAGAGGTACAACACTTGCAGTAAGGTTTGGGAGAAAAATCAGAAAACCTGCATTCGATTTGATCCTAAGAACAAGGAGGTAGATCTGTCTGTGCATGCTTATGCAAGCTTCACTGATGCCCTTCAACGTGCTTCATGCCTGCTGATGAGCGAAGTCCTTCTACTGAAAGATTTGGTCACGGAGACAAAGCACTTGCGCGGGGCCAAGTTTGCCAGTGACTTTAGAAGAAAGCATCCAGATGTACATTTTGCCCTGGATCAAGAGTCGATGACTTTGACCGGCTTGCCAAATTGCCTTGCACGGGCCAAGCAGTTCGTCTTACAGAAAGGAAGACTGTTGCCATCGGCTGGAGAGAAACCAAACAATGATGGTGAGACCCTCACAGGCGTTGATAGGAGCAACTCCAAAGCAGCTGCGCCTCTACTCAAGGACTCTGCAAGTTCTGTGAGCTCAGAAATAGATAAAAAGGAAACAGACACGTGTAGCATCTGCATGGATACCATTAGTAACAAATATGTGCTTGAAAAGTGCAAGCATGAATTCTGTACCCCTTGTATCAAGAAATCCATGTCATATAAGCCAGTCTGTCCTGTGTGTCAGACTCCTTACGGTGTCCAGACAGGGAATCAGCCAGATGGAACCATGACTCATAGCCTGATAAAAACGTCACTTCCGGGTTATGAATCCTATAACACCATTGTGATTAAATATTACATGAACGGAGGCACGCAAACGGTAAGCGCTTCTGAGGTGCCTGCGTTTCTTTCCACTGCGCTAGGCTTACCAGAATAAAATAGACTGCTCTGATGCTTAATACACAGTGTATTTCCTTGGGAATTATCCCATGGTCATATGCAAGGGACTGAAATAGTGATAGAAGTCACATTGTTTGCTTATAATTTAGATATTTTCATGTCTTTTTGGGGGGGGCGCTGGTAGTGGAGATTGGGTACAGGATCTCACACATACCTGGCCAGTGCTGTACACTGAGCTATACACAGGCCCGTCCAATTTCTTAACATAGAGAACATGTGGATGGAGATTATGCATTAGGATGGGGGGAGTCAGGAAGGTAGGTAGTATTTCCAGAGTGAATTTGAGAAAAGAGGATCAACATAAACTATTAGGAAGATGAATAAAATTATTAATACTTTTCTCGCTTTTGATTTGTACTACTTACAAATGAACACCTATATAACAAAATGTATTTATTTTTAATGAGCATAAAGGGACTTACTAGAGAGAAATGTAAACGTATACACTCAAAGAAATAAGAGTTCAGGCCCTCAAGAAAGAGAGGCACACTTCTTTTGGACCTGGGAATATGTATGTGTGGCTGGTGGGAGTCTGTGGAATTTGTGAATCTATAGGAATCTCTGTCTTGGTCTTGGTTTACAGGAAAAGGACGGCCCATCCACCAAAAGATAATGACCCATTTTACAGGTGAAAGGCATGAGCCCCACAAGATTTTTTGATTTTGTTTTTGTTTTTAGATGGGTGACCTAAGATGCTTTGCCTAAAAACATTCTTTGAACTCTCTCAATCTGTCCTTTTACCTTAAAATCAGGTTTCTGCCTTCTTTCAACAAAGCTAATTTATGGACTGAAAGTATCTTTTAAGAGATTATATATAATAAAATTTACAGGGAACTATTTTCACATAGCATTTTCTTGTCTTCATACAGAAAGAGCACCCCAACCCAGGACGGCACTATCCTGGAACAGTGCGAACGGCATACTTACCTGATAATAAGGAAGGGCAGGAGGTTTTGAAACTACTTGAGGTAGCCTTTAAACGCAAGCTCATTTTCACAGTGGGATACTCTCGAGTACAAGGTATCTCAGATGTCATTACATGGAATGACATCCACCACAAAACATCCCTGTCTGGAGGACCGTCAAAGTGAGTCTTTTGAATTGCAATGGTTGATAAAGCTTAGGAACTGTGGAATATGGCAATTTGCACCTGTGGATATGAGAGTTTGTACCAGATGTGTTAGGTCAGTAAAGTATTTTGAGAAATACTAATACTGGGATAATTTCAAAGATGGAAGTATGGGTCCCTCTAACCTTCTATCTGCCAGTTATAGGCTGCTGGAGTTATGCAGTTATTAAATCTTGTGTCATGGGGAAGGGGGTTTCAGAATTTAAGATGATTGGTATCTCAAGTTAATTAATTAATTTTATCTTTTTGAGACAGGGACTCGCTGTGCAGTTCAGGCTGGCCTTGAGCTCACTTTGTAGCCCAGGCTGGTCTCAAACTCACAACGATCCTCCTGCCTCAGCCTCCCGAGTGCTGGGATTACAGGCGTGCACCACCACTCCCGGCTCTCAAGTTAATTTAATTTGGGGTTTCCTATCTATTTGGAGAGCAGATGCTAGGAATGTTATTTACTTTGCTTCCTTTTAAGGTCATTTTTCTTTATCTCCTCTCTCCCCGCCAGTCCACAGAGTATCTGAACTCACTTGGTCAACAGAACTTTAGAAAAAGTCTTACTTGTAAGGGACTAGTGGTGGTGGAGTCTGTGATACAGGAACTCTGGTTGTTCTGTGTGAAACTCAGACTAGCTTAGATCCCTGGTATTCAAAAAGAAGTACATCAAGACCTTTGCAAATATTCACATTTGAAAATTCTGGCAGCATAGTATTACAGCGCCTCCTTTATACAATACAGTAAGCTACTATATTTTATGAATTAGTACTTACAAGAAACTGAGAATTTTAAAAGCCTGGTTGGAAGACTGATGCTGGTTAGACAACTAAGCTCACTCACTAGCTAAATGATCCACATCTGCACACTTACAAGAGATTATATGTCACGCACCCTCAGGATGACTGTGAATATTTGCAACCCTGAGTATTAAATCTTCACATGCCAAATATCTACTGTACAAATTTTTTCTTTCTGCAGTTATGGCTACCCTGATCCTGATTACCTGCAACGTGTTAAGGAAGAGCTGAAAGCAAAAGGAATTGAATAAAGCCAAAAAACCCCCCAAAAAACTAAAAAAACAAAACAAAAAAAAACCCACTAGAAGAATGTCTTAACAAAGCTTTATAAAGATATGTTTGAGGAGTTGATGCCAATAAAAATCCTTCTCTAGCAATGCCTTTTAAAAACTTCATCTCAAGAAGTGGTTGATATAAGAATAGAAATCTGCTTGTTTGTCATTTCTAGAGTGTTGCTTTTTTATGGTAAATAAAAACCCCAAGAACTGTATAACTGTGCTGGAAGTGTCATGTCTCATTCATGGCTGGGTCTGGGTGGGTCTGAAATAATCTTGTATATCTTTCAGTTCTACTGCTGGCTATCGATGGACAGTTTTTCCCTTTTCTTTCTTTTGTGGTGCTGGAGATCTAATCCAAAGCCATTGAAGTACACTCTCAGCCCTTTGGTCCTCTTTTCATTGCCGTCTCTGGGGTGAAACTTTAGTTTTTTTATTTGTTTGCACTTTAATCCCTACCTGTTGGCAAGGAGTTTGGTTATAGAACGCCCCCCCTCCCCCGAAAGAAAAGTGGGCAAGAGCCGAGACTGGGCAACCTTTGGTAACAAATGGAATAAGGCTATTATTTTTAATATAAAGCCTGGTATATAGTTAGTGCTTAATATATTTTCATTGCCTAACTCACATTGCTATTAGCTTAGTAGAGGGATATAGGTTTCCTAAATATTTGGCAAAAGCCGGAGTTAGAAAACTAGTTCTGGAGTCCTCACCACTTGGAAAACTGAGTTTCTTATTCTGGAGCACTTGGTGGCTGAACTCTGATCAGGTTCCTAACTTGGGTCTTGCTCTTCCCTCATCTTTGGAACCAGCCTTGTGGGGTACAGTGCCCTGCCATAGAAATGCTACATGTTTCTTGACATTTTTCTTCTCTGGATATGTTATAATCTTGAGTAACTCTGCTTCCAGCTTTAACAGACAAATAATCTTAGTTTCTGTTGTCTAACATTATAAAGTCACTGTAGCCTGCAATGCAGTAGTCTTTTTTTAATCCCTTTACTAAATCTCACCAATTCAAGTTTTCTCTCTTTCTGGATTTCTACCAGGAATATATGACACACCCAATTTTACTTTTAAATGGTTTTTCAAATCAAAACATAATTATAATAGCAAATTACCCACTTCTCTCCCCCAAAATGGAAATGTGTACTTTGTTCTTTTCCTAAAGATGCGTGTACACGCATGTAAAATATTTTTGGCCCCAAAATAATAACTAATATTTATGGAGAACTTACTCTGTCCCCTTTATAAGAGCTTTACATATGTGTGATTGATACAATTACTATTCCCATTTTATAAACAAGAAAACTGATGCACCCTAAGTGAATCATGGTCACATGGTCTGTAAGAGGAAGGGCTGGCATGTCAACCAGGGAGTCTGGCCCCAGACTTCTGCACCCCTAGGTGGTACTGCCGCCTACCGAGCTTCTTCTCCCAGGAGCACTCTGAGGAGTTCCCTTTGCTCTGGGCTTCTCCCAGAAGTGGAATTCTGCACAGGGCTCAAAGCAGATTTCCTTTGGGAAGTCCTGTTTGAATAACTTCAGAATTCAGAATCCTTTCTGAAGGAATCCAACCACTGCCATTCTGAGCTGAACGGAAATTATGTGAAATCCCCCGCCCCGTGCTGTGCTTGCCTACCTGTTAGAAATAACGTGCAATCATGAACTGGCAAGGCCCAGTGAGCATAGCTACGATCCATAACTCCCACCGTCGTTCAGCCCTGTGCTTGACAAGCAGCTGAGGCCCAGTTACCATAGCTGCAACCATAATTCCCAGTCATTGCGCAGCCCCATTATTGACAAACAAATCACAACTCCCTGTGCGTTCTCAAGCCCCGTCCCAGCCAGATAGCCACAACTCCTCTGTACTCAATTCTCCCCCTCAAAAGTCTCACTGTAACTTTTTCCTTCCACAGCTCCCCTTTTTATGGTCCTGACCATATAAAGACCACATAGCCTGTATGAGAGTTACAGGTCTGGACCCTAGTGCCAGACTGGTCCCTGTCAGGTTTGTTCTGAAATGAACCTGTCTTGTGAACTCCTACCTCTGTTTCTTTTCCTTCTTCCTGACACTTTCCGTTGCCCAGAAAGTTAAGGAAACTTAAGCGAAATGGTGTATCTTTTTTTAAAAAATAAGAGTATATATTTGATGTTTTCTGTTTGTTTGTTCCTTTATTGAAATAGAGTCTCACTGTATTGTCCAAGCTGGCCTCAAACTCACTGTGTTCCTGCTTCAGCTTCCTCTGCTCCTTCTGCCTCTTGAGTGCTGGGATTACAGGTGCCAAGTACCACACTTGGTCTATACCTTTAACTAGTCATGATTCATTAATTTTATCGTAATGAACCAATTGTGTTCTAGCTTCTAATCTTTTGGCTAAATTTGTTGTGAAGAAGCAGAAGTTTAGTTTCTACTAAGCTCTGGATCCTGTATTGCATTATGTACACATGCACATTTCACGATGTGAAACTTGGTCAGTGAGCATTTATATTTATACTGCTTTTAGTCTCTGGAAGATGTTACTATCTGTTTTAAATAAAATTAAGCCTACATTTGGAACAGGTTGTCTGTGGTTTTTCCATCAGTCTTTTTCTTTTTCCTTAGGTTCAGATTCTGGGTGTTTTGGGCAACATATATAATAAATGGTTGTTTTCACATGCATGAGGGTCTTGGCTGATTTTGTGTGAAGCTATTTACTAACTTTTTTGGAGGAATTGTTTTCTGAGACAGGGTATGAAGCTTGTCTATGTAGCCCAGGCTGCCCTCAAACCCCAAGCGATTCTCCTGCCTCAGCCTCCTGAGGGCTGGGACTACAGGCGTGCGCCACCACTAATACCATCATCAGTATTTGCTGAGTACTGTATTATCACAGTAGGCACAACTTTACTATTGAGTTCACTGTGGCCACTTCTGGCTGTGAAAATCGTATTTCTCAATTCCTTTCTCCATTGCAAGTAGGTTACTCTAAAGACAAAAGTGGGATACAGATTTCCTCTGGTCTGCAGAAAGTCTAAGTAATACCGTATGAACTCTTCCCTCCTCGCTCAAAGAGCACCAGCAGACTGGGGCATTAGTCTCTCCAGAGCAGAAGAAGTACAAAAGCAAACTGAATAACTCGACCTTTCACAATTACATTTTCACAGAAAAGAAAGTGAAAGAAGTCTAGGAACCGGTCGGGTGAGAATGATACAGGAATTAGAAACTCCCAACCTGAAAGATATCTGGGACAAGTTCGTGTTCCCTAAAATTGAACAATGAATTTTAGGAACAACAAAGGTTAAGAGCAGAATATATTTTCTGAGGGAAAGAAAACTTCTGTCCGGGAGAGGGACAGAAGGGGGCCCTGAGTGGGTTACCCAGGAATCTGTCTTTTCTAGGGACTGTTAGAGAGCAAAACCACAAGGTAAGGCAGGTCCAAAGTAGAAAACATGGGAACTCACTAGGTGGGCATGAGGTGGGACAAAACTATGGTCAGCCAATAAGATTACAAGTATATTTGTTCAGGTAAAATTGATTAAATTGGGATCAAATGGGGAAATGAGTCACGGAGCAAGCGGGCATAAATACAGAACAGGGGCTTTTCCTGTAGTGGGTGGGGCTAGTGACTCTTCCTGGCCTTTTAAAAGTGATTGCTACCTATTTAGAATATTAATCCCTGAGGTCCATCCCTAGGGAAGTATGTGGGCACATCTGTTTAACCTTTTGTCCACAGCTGGAAGTGTCTGTCCCCCACAGCTGCAAGGTATCTCATCTTCCGCACTGGCTCCTCTGAGGGTCTGATCCTGTCTGACTGCCTATAATACTTTTATCTAACTCAGCTGCTTATAACAAGGTGACGGTGGCAGAGCCCAGGGTGGCGGCGCCCTGCTCCTTCCCTTTACTGTCCATGGGTCCTGAGGTCCTGATCCTCCAAAGAACCTGAGCAGTAAGGCGCAGCTGCACCTTCAGAGCCCCACGGGTCCTGGTGCTCTTTGCCCCGCACCCGCAAGGCTGGGATCTTGCTTTGGCTAAAATTGAGTGTTGTAGATTAAGGAAATTAGTCCTTTCTCTGTGATATATATTGTGAATATTTTCTTCCAGTTTCTCTAATTTGCTAGCCTTTTACCCCTATTCAAATCCATTTAACTTTTTTTTCCTCTTCAGACAGGGTCTCACTAAGACACTAAATAGACCAGAGGAGGTTTGAAGTTGGGCTCCTCCTGCCTCAGCCTCCCAGATTGCTAGGATTACAGGGTTGGGCCTTCACACTAGGCTCAGGGGAAGCCTCTTGAACAAGGAATTTGGATCCTGCAATTGCCCTCTTAAGAACAAGTAGGATTTAGGGCCACTCAGGAAAACCTGGGCTCACCCTGGGCCTGCAGAGTGCTGCATAGTCTGATTTGCCTCCTATGACCCTGTCGCCCACCACAGGGTCTCTGTCCCCAAAGATGAACCAGGTGAGGGTAGGATAAAAATACAGCCAGGTGGGATAGGCAGGATGAGCTGGGTCCCAAGTCAAATGCTTTTAATTTCATGTAGTAAAAGTAATCAAATTTTATTTTATTATATCTGGACTTTGAGTCATATTTTAGTATATGGCTTAAATCACACTTTTCCCTACACACGTTACAGAGGAATTTGTTTATATGGTACAGTACTTTCTTCTAGTACTTGTATCTAATTTTTACACTTAGATCTCTGATATATTTGGAGTTTGTTCACAGGTATAGTCAGAAAGAAATTTTTAAAAAAATTTTTTTCTAGTGCTAGGGATCAAACCCAGGGCCTTGCACATGCTAGGCAACTGCTCTACCACTGAACTACACATTCTACCCTCTTTTTACAAGTGGGTATCAAGTTGTCTCAACAGTTTATTTAAAAGGTTATCACTGCCCTAATAACTTGAGATACCATCTCTATCATATATTCGTTCTGTGTACGTACTTTGGCTACTTCTGCAGCTTCTATTTTCTTCTATTAATCTGTACCTTCCTCTATTTTAGAGGGTTTTGTATGAGATGTGATCAAAATATACAGTGAATGTTCAAATTTTAAAATAATTGTGACAGTAAAAGACACATTGCCAGTAATCCACCCCAACTCCTGTTCAGTTAGAAAAACTTATCCCATCATTCTTGCCACTTTCTCAAGCAGTTCTGGAAGCCCTCTTTCATGAATGTCTTTAGGAGATGTGATAAAAAATATGGTGAATACTGCTGCTGGTGCCATCCTACAGATATACATTCTTAT